TTACTGTAAAAAACAACTGCAACAATAATTCACTGTTAAATTAATTGTAAACCCTGATTCAATTTCCAACATTAGTCTTTTATGATTGAGGACTTTGTCATGAGCGTCTTTCACTTTATTCTGATATGTTACTGGCATCGATTAATCGATAAATGATGTTAATCAGTGATGACAAAATAAGAGTTCGGTGCAGCCCTGCTATAACGTGAAAGAAAGAAGTTTTGGTTGTTAACTTTATTGTCAGCAGTAAAGTTTACTGTAACTCTGATCTCAGTCAGACGTTAATATGCATCAGTGTAATATCTTCATTTTTAGTTTTTAATTCTCATACAACATTGTCATGTGACCTTGAATTTTCAGATGAGGGATTTTTTACTTTTCTGAAAGTTACGACTGTGGTGCTGCCTCACGTGTGAATCACTGTTAGTTTCCCTGTGGTTGACCATTTATTTCTTTTCACTGTGTGTAATGTTCTCATCTGTGAATGCTGGACAGACCTGCAGTGAAAACAGACTGTTCAGACGTGGTCGACACTTTTACCTCATCGATCTTTCGGTTCATTCGGTTTCCTGATGGTGCTACGCTAACGGTGCTAACTCCACATGTACAGTTTTACTTCTTACCTGTGCCCTGATTGGCTCCTTATAAAAGTGAATGTTTGTTAGGTTTTTGTGATGCTGTGTGTTGGCTCTTCAATCGGGTGTTTAGTTTTATGTTAGTGACTTGTGGAAGTACTAACATTATATATTTCAAATTCCTCGCTGAGAGGAACAAGTGGCAAGTCAGGAAGTAATGATTAAATGTCTGTGGGATTTTTACTCTGGGCATCATTGAACAAGTGGGACTTGTTTTTTATGGCCAGACATGTTGTTTTTGTTTGTTTGCTTTTGTTTTGTTAGTTTCTTTTAATATTTTAATTAGATTTGAACTAATATTGTCCAAAAATGCCATTTCATGGACCAAAACATGTATATTTTCTTTTTGATTACCCTTGACTAATAAATAGATTTGGCCTTTTTGAAAATCAGTATTTAAATGTGGTGGACTCAAACCTTCTTGCTAATTATGGAAATAGTGCTGCAAAGCCAGTTGAGCTCAGTGTCGTAACATCTGCTGATTGAACTAAATCTATGTGTATATGTCTCTTGCTTTGTATAAATCCTTGTGATATTGAACATCTTTGAACTTTTACTGTGGAAATGACACGTTTCTCCACCAGAGGTCAAAAGTGTTCAAAGCTCCACTGCAGTAAATCATTTGGGACGTGCAGAGAGAGAATATCAGCAGTTTTATTTCATTGAGCTCATCAGCCTCCTGGGAGTCTGCGTCCTGTCACAGCTACAGCTGTTTAACATGAATCAGACTTTATTTTACTTCATTGGTTTAAATCCACACAGTTTCATTCTATGGAGCTCTGGGTTCATAAATACAAAATAAAGAAGATAAAACTAAAACGTCAAACATTTGCTACAGTCAAACAATCAAATGTACTGGTGTCTAGGATCCTGATGTGAAACTGATTCCACAAAGTGTCATAATGGCACTACTGGCTGATCTGGAATGGAGTGTTTTTTTTAGATCTCCAGGAGACGTGGGTCCAACCAGTAGAACATATCACATCAGTCTATGGTTCCATTTCTATAACTTCAGACCTTGTGTGACCATTAAGTGTTGGTGGTGACAAATCACCCAATGAGAGATTTTGGGGGGGGGGGGAAGGTAAGGCCACCAATTATATATTTTTAAAAAACATACATTGACTCATGTTCCTTCTAGACTCTAGAAAAATGGTAGAAGATTGATGGATACTTTACCAATTTAAAATATAAATTAACTGGTTAATCACAATGACTGAATGAACTTCTGTGTCTCAACAGCTCAAAGTTATCACCAATGTTGTAAACTACAGCCATGTTCCATGTTTAGATTACAGACAACATGTCAGCATGTCATTTAGTTTAAAGTTTTTATTAGAAAATATTCTTGAATGCACAGTTCTGTAAAGGGGTGAGGGTCATTCGGAGGCTGAAGCTGTTTCCCAGGGTTTCCGTCTCCTCTCCATCTGAGAAGGACTTGGACTCTGGTTACTTGGTTTTATGTCCAGGTTTTTTGCTCCTGGCACCTCCTTCCCCTCCTGAACCAGTCGCATCACCTCAGCAAAAGAAAGCTGCTTCACCTCCAACTCTGCGGACGTTTGAACGACCTGGTTTTTTCTGAGATCAGAGTCTGAATCTGAAGGCGTCCGCTGCTCTGTCTGTGTCACATGAGGAGAAGCAGAGCTCCACTGTTTGTAGCTCGTTCGGTCTATGGGCTCAACAAACCTGGTGACAACCGAGAGGAAGAGTTGGTGGGATAAACATGTAGCAGATCGACAAACAGTGTAGAACGTGAAAACATTGTTTAACACTTGATACTTTTGGCTCTGATGGCTCTGAAACAGGCAAACCTTTATTTATATTCTGCTTATTAATCTTTTTATTTGTTTATATGTGTAATACATGGAATAAACTTGTACATTATATCATAATATATTTAACTGTACATGTATAATATAATACATGTACAGTTTAATATACATACAATATATTATAACACATGTACAATACAACATAAGTGTATAATTGTATACAATATCATACATGTATAATATTATACATCTATGTATGATACACATACTATAAAGTACATGTATAATATAAATACTCTGTATAACATATTGTCTCTTCTTTATAATACATGTATAATATAACACAATATCTCTATGTATAATATATGTACACTATAATATAGTACATTTATAATATAGTTCCTCTTTGTATACTAGGTGTATAACACCATATAGTATCTCTATAATACAAGTATTATGTAATATAATACATGTCTAATAAAACATAATGTGATGTAACAGCAGCAGCGACCTGTTGTAGAAGAAGAGTTTCATGTCTTGCAGTTGACTTTTCTGTCTCTCGTTGTTGGACTCGGGTAAAACCTTCAGTCCGTCCTGAAACTTCTGATCAGACTCGAAGTCGTAGGATTGAAACCTGAAGAAAACCGACTCCATGTCCGCGCCGCCTGGTTCCTCCTCCACCCGAACTTCACTTCCGGGTTCTCAGTTCTCTGTTTGGCGTCAACAAATGCGGTTTAAAGACGGAACAGCGCTGACCGAGAGAGCAGAGCTGAGGCTGCAGCGCCCCCTGTGGTCGTTTCTAGTGCTGCAATTTACCGCTTACTGTGGGCAGTGTGAAAAACATTTTCTACCAGAACCCACAAACTCAAATGTACTTCTTTACACATTGTCCTAATCTTAGGAGGTAAAATTAAATTATAAATAGTTCTTTGTGTGTAAATATGCCAAAGAATATCAAATATATGAAAGATGAAATATCGCAAATCAATCAGTGAGTTAAATGAAATCTCAACAACACTTTGATTGAAGAACATTAGATTACTTGTGATTAAATAGAAATTTGAGTCACTTTTATTAACATCTGTCCTCTTTAGTACACGTGCAGTAGTTGTATTGAACGTAATTGTATGTGTCTGTGTTCAAAACAACAACAAATTCATCCCATTAAAATTAAAACAGGATTTAAAACTCACCTTAAAAGTTGAACATCTGAGTGACGTCAGCGAGAGAAGTTGAAAGTTCTGGTCACTTTGTGTTTCCTCGGTTAAAAGATTAAAACTCTTCTTTTTCTAAAGGCTGCGGAGAACTGATGGCAACATTTCACAGTTGGAACGGAACTCAGATCTTTGATGTATTTTTCTGCAGGTGAGGCCTTGAGGTGAGGCCTTTGCAGTTTCCCTCCAAAAGTGACTTCCTGAATTACTCCCTCATTTCATAAAAATGAATCTTTATCGTGTAAATCCAGAGAAGTTGAACGCATCACAGTGAAATTGTTCTTTATGTAAAATAAGTGTGTCCCCTTCTCCGACAACAGTTGTTCAGTTCTCATCAGGTTTAAAATGCAGTGCGAGCAGGCTGTCACACAATATTTAATACATGTTACCTCAATGTAAAAACTTGAACCTTACTGATTCAGTGGCTCTTTGTCAACATGTAGAAACTTTAGATTTTATGTTGAATCAACTTGAACCACAAAGAAACGCTCATGTTGGATTAACAAACATTTCGTTCTGTAAACAAACAATAACAATATAAAGTAGTATGGAAAGAAAAAGTCTGAATAATAATCAATAACAACAAAGAGTCCAGAGATGAACACACGAGAAAATAAGTGATTCAGTGACAAACAACAATCAATTTAAATCATTCGAGTTCTCAGACTTTGAGCAGAGTGAACCCTCTTTCAAATACTAATCCACAGAGGATCTCAGCTCATGTTTCACTTCTGTTCAGCTTTTCCTCCACCAGTGAACCATCTTCCCAAACAAAGGCATAGAAGAAGTAAAGTGAGGATCTTTGATTGTGCGGGACTCACCTCACGATCACGGGAGAGTCTGAGATCAGCTGTTTGTTTGGCTGCGGGACCAGATCCTGCGGGACTTCTCTCCACAGGGAGGCGCCATGATGACTTTTACTCCTCCGGATTTAAAGGTGGAAAGGCGGGATCAGTCCAGAGCAGGACACAATCTGATTGGCTGAACAGAGACAGGTGGCGGGTCGTCGGGGCGGGGCTTAAGTCATTTAGTAAGATGGAGTATTAGAGACACGATGAAGAAAAGAGTGAGACATTTGACTTCTGTCTGTCTGTCTGTCTATTTATCTATCTATCTATCTATCTGTCTATCTTTCTGTCTGTCTGTCTGTCTATCTATCTGTCTATTTATATATCTATCTGTCTATCTTTCTGTCTGTCTGTCTGTCTGTCTATTTATCTATCTATCTATCTGTCTATCTTTCTGTCTGTCTGTCTGTCTGTCTGTCTGTCTGTCTGTCTATTTATCTATCTATCAATCTATTTGTCTGTGTGTCTGTCTTTATCTTAAACAATAGGAGACTTTATAAAGACTTAACATTGTATGTGCCTTATAGTTCGATTCAATTTTTTGTATTTTAAAACAAAAAGCAAATAACCACTCATATTTTTTTAGTTTCCAAAGACCAAAAGATAAACAGACCATTGACCGTTAGTGTCAATATTTTTCAGTTAGAACAAACTGCAACATTTCATATCCCTTTAAAAAAACTAATATTTAAACTTGGTTTTAGTTCATTTTAAAACACACTTAAAACACTAAAGTTTGAATACTCTGTGTGAGGCCATGTGATACTCTCTACACCACTGATCAGATTTGACTTGTTATCTTATGTGATAATTGTTATGACACAGAGTCTTTAGCTCAACTGTAGAGAACATAAAGAGAATCTGTTCCTCCCCGTGAGACTGAGTGTCAGAGCACAGATAATGTGTTATAATTGTGTATTCTCTTTGTATTCTCTCAGGGTCAGACCTCCTGATACACTCTGGGTGTGACAGCTTTGTCCTTCTCCAGCTGGGAAACATTTTTCTCTGCAGCTCTTTATTTGTCTTTGGTAAAATACAAACAAATTTGGTTTCATCAGCTCAATTATTTCACTGCTCAACAAATTCCCAATTTCCGTCTAAACGTCTCGGTGCTTTAATCAACATTGAGTCTTTAAAGAGATTGTGCTGAAAAACTGTGTCTGTGCAGAACTTTCTTTAAGATGAGTTGTTAACTTCTATTGTATGTGTGTGAACCCACCTTCTCTCTGTTTGAGTGAAACTGGGTTACAGTGAATGGAAGAGAGGCAGTAACTCACATTGTTGCCTGTGTGTGTGTCACATGTAACAGTAGAACCAACACATGTTCTGAGCAGAAACACGACACCGTGCGATTGTGTGACTCGGCCCGCTCTGTCCTTGACTGCAGGCCCTGTCTGCCGCCAGTCAGCTGATCGGCTCCTAGACAATCTGAGCCCCCATCTCCCACAGAGAATTTAAACCCGATGTCCAGGTGTAAACAAAGCGGAGCAGTTTAATATGCAGAGACAGTGAAAGTTTCAGTCACATAATAAGAGAGGGAGAGAGTGAGGGAGGAGGATCATGCTTCTCACAGGCGAGGAAATCTCATCTTATTAACTACTTTGCGGTCACTTTTTCTTTTTTAAGCATGTGATGTAACGCCTGGCTCTGAAGCAGCTTATTAGTGCTGAGTAAACACCTTTCTACAGCTTAAAGGTCCAGTGTGTAAGATTTAGGTGAAAGGGAACTATTGGCAGAAATTTAATGTAGAATAATCCTCATGATGTTTTCACTAGTTCATTTCATCTAAATTGTATGAATTGTAGTTTTCTTTACCTCAGAAAAGGCCCTTTATAATCAAATACTTTATATTTACATGGACAAACTAAACACCTTTTCAGTTTTTATAATAACTGAAGCTACCACAGCTTCTTTTTCATGTTTGGAAGGGGGGTGGGAGGGGGAGGTCAGGGGGGTTCAGCTGGAACATGTAATTTCAACACTAGATATCATACAATTCTACACACTGTACCTTTACATATAACCAGGTTTGACTGTAAAGACGAGACGGAAACAGTTAAAGCCTTTTCATCAGGTCTTAGATGTTTATTCAGTAAAACATGAGGTTCATCTCTACATCTAAAGATAATATAAAATTAATTCAGCATATAAGTGCAAAAGTCATCTTGAAATTTTAAATGAATATTTTATATTTGCAAGATTGTGCTTTATGTAATGTCATAATGATTGATCTGTAAAAAGGAGATACGTGCTTTTGATTGCACCAAAAGAAAAAGTTTCACTTTACACCACAGTTCTCCTACTTACAGTCTACCACCTCAACCAGTTCAAGCCTCCTGCAGTGAAGCAGGTTTACATAAAAATATTATATGTTAAATTCCTCCTCTCAGCTGTCAGTGTCAGTGGAGCCGCTGCTGTTTCTCCTCGACTCTTCACTCACAGTTGGAGCCTGCGGCCGCGCTCACTGGCGGCGAGAGTCTGTGTCGGTGGAGCTTGCTCTGGTTTGACGTTTGTCTCTGGGTGCAGCGAGACGGACGAGAGAAGCAGAAGGTCAGGGTGCTGCTGGAGCTGCAGTCGTAGTTTCCATCCTGAGCGGAGACAGAGAGGAAGCAGATTAAATATCAGGTCATGATAGATCTGTAACGACCTGCAACAGTTTGTCAATTAAACAATTTGTCAATCTTCAGAGGATCTGGTCGCAACTAGTTTGAGATTCGATTAATCACTTAACTCGTTCTTATTTTAAAAAAGTCACTTCTAGCTCCTGAAATGAGTTGTTTTTCTTGTGTGTGTGTGTGTGTGTGTGTGGAGAGAAACTCTGTGTGCGTAATAAGATTTGTGATTGTGTAAAATAATCCATAGATACAGATAAATATTCACACAATTTACAAATCTGATTACCCACACATACAGTTTAACATACAGTTACACAACTCTCTACACAAATAATATTTTATAGGAGTTTTGATTCACTCACCTCTGCAGTGACGCTGCGTCTGACGCTGGGGTTCATGCTGCTGCCTTTCTCCTCCCTCTGCACTTTTCCAGCCTCCTCTCTCTGCTTCATGAACCTCTGGTTGACGATCCTCGTCACGCTGTCGGCCCTGTGCAGCGAGGCGGCCGGAGGCCTCGACGGAACGCGCTCCAGGTTCTTCAGGCCGTTCTTTATCTTCGGTCCTGACACCGTCACTGGTTTCTCAGCCCGGCCGCTCACCCTGCGCAGAAACTCTGTGACCAGACCGTAACGGTTGGCGCCTGCAGATTTGGTGGGAGGCTTGGCGCTGCTCAGGGAGCTGTGGCTCTGTTGTCCTGTGCTTTGTCTCAGACTGCTTTGTCTGGTCCAAGAGAGGCCAGAGGCGCTTTGATGGTTCTGGTTCCACAGAGCTCGGTCTCTCGAGGTGGATACAGAGGAGGAGGAGGAGGAACTCAGACTGGGGGTTGAAGAAGATACACCAGAGTGTCTCCGGTAGAGTTTAGGTGAAGAGGTGGAGGCTCTGTTCCTCTCAACTCGACCTGGTACTCCGTCCAGTGAGGTGGAGATGTAATGAGAGCGTACAGAGACCAAGGAGGGGCTCAGGACTCGAGAGGGGCTGCTTCTCATGGCAGCCGGCCCCTGGGGGCCATCGGTCTGCAGACCAACACTCACCATCTTTGGCTTCATGTAGGTCTGAGTGCCCGAGCAGGCCACATCCACCCACCTCCCCGCTAATCTCCCTCTCTTCTCCTGTGAACCGCTGGGAGCTGACTGCCTCCAGCTGGCCGCCATCTCCTTCACGTCGTCACTCAGGTTGGCAGATGAGCCCAGACAGAGTGCAGAGAAGGAGGTCGGCGGCGTGCACCAGGGAGAGGAAGTGTTGACTGACTCTCCGTCTGCGACGGGGCTTTGCTTCATCTGAGCCAGCTGGACTCTGCGAGCAGACGGGGGGCTGTAGTAGATGCGGAACGCTGACTTCTCTGGGGCAGTGTGGCTTTTATCCATGGACATCTGCTCAAAATCAAGATCAGGGAAGCTAAGCGGCATGATTGGATGGTCCCACGTCTTAACGGGGTCCTCTCTGTCCATCTGGGCGACCTCCTGGCTCAGATAGCACCAGTTCTTCGTTTTAGGGCCTCGTGGAGAAAACTGTCGCCTCAGTCTTTTTTCTTTTGAGCTGCAGATCCTGTTCAAACAGCAGGAGACATGAGTCACGACTTCAGTGTCTTCAAAAACAAGATGGATCAGATAGAGGAAACACTGACCTGTCGTCTTCACAGGGACGTTCATCATGAAAGACACCACTGACGGCCCTCTGAGCAAAGAGAGGAGAGACACAAGAAGAAGACAACTTGTAAATCGTGTTATTTTTCTGACGGACGTCTTTGATCCAGACTCACTCAATATAAATTGGATGGATTGCCATGAAATTAAAGTACAGACATTAACGTTCCCCTCACCATGACTAACTTTCAAGATCTTTAAATGTTTCATCTAAGACCATCATCAGATTACAATTTCATTCATCCAATTGTGGATTATGACACTGATGTTAGTTATGTTGTCCTGCATGTCCATTTCTTTGGTTGGTTTGTATTTTTGGACGGGTTACCATGACACTTGGTGGAAGGATGTACAGATTGAGGGAACTGATTTCTATGAGGGTGTGAAATTTGCTGCAGTTTAACAAATTAACAGGCTAACACACCAAACTGAGAAGCTCAAAGTTATTCTGCAATAACGTAGGAGTGAAGTTACCATAATGATATTTTAAATCTGTACACCACGTCCACATCTGCATCCAAGTCATAATTACACCTGGGAAAGTTTAATTTATCTGAAAAGATGGATGTGAAGTCTAACAGTTTGTTCAAACACGGTTGTGTTACTGCAGCAGCACAGACTCTCTGGAAAGTTCCTCTGAGAGAAAGAAGGATTACAGTCTAGTCAGAGGAGTAAAGAAATAAATCTGCAGATGTTGAGTCAAGCTGTGCAAAGAGCCAGGAGCAACAACTCAAAAGTCAGATTTCATTTCTTATCTCGTTTACATCTAAACTGTCTCTCTGTGTGTCTGTGTTTGACCGAGGAGGTGGACACTGTGACCGTCTGGATGCTTTTAATGCAGCAGATTTGAACATGACTGTCCTGTTTGGCCGGAGCCCCTAAGAGAGATTGGCCTAAATACTCTGGCACGAGTCTCCTCGTGATGCCTACTGAGTGTGAGGAGGACGCACGGCCAAGGAGACGGATCATCAGCAGGACTTCCCGCTGTATCACACAGCCTCACACACAGCGGGGGGGCACACGCCTGAAGGGTAAACACCATCCTTACCTTGGCTGCCTGGCCCTGCGTGGCCTTGGCTCCGCTGTCGAATTCAATCCGCTCATCCCGAAGCTCTGCACTGAGCTCCTGCAACAGCCCTCGCAGCACAGACACGGTTCTTTCTTTACCCTGAATAAAAACAACCCGGATATATTTAGATATTCCAAATATATAACTTATCTCTAAAAAAACACGACATCGGCTGATTGAACAATTAGTTTTAGAGTTATACTTGATTTTTTTACCACCGCCAAGGGGGTTATGTTTTATCTGTTTATCTGTTTATTAGTCAGGATTAACCAAAAACTACCGGGTGGATTACCATCAAACTAAAAGAATGAAGTATGGGTCAGGAAATAAAGGATCTGGATCAGTGGGCGGATCGTTTTTTCACTTCTTTAACATTGAGAGATTGAGTGTTTTTCAACATTTTCATTGATTTCTCATAGAGTACTTTGTGAATCTTGATGAAGGGGACTGATACCTGCTGAGTGTGAGAAACTTGATTGAAGTTAAAGGGACTGTAGTGCCTTGTATGGGTGTATCGTCTGTACTGAGTGACGTTCAGGTTGGTTGGTTGGATGATGGTTAGTCAGCAGGATTAGGCCAAAGTACTGAACGGATTTAAACAACGTTTGATGGAAAGATGACGCATTTTGAGGCAGATCTGGACTAAGCAGCAGAATTCTCCTGGATCTAGTGGATTTAAATTTGGGACTGTTCGGTCTTTGTGGGGGTGTGCGCTCTACAACAGATCAATCTATTGATCGATCGAGAAAAGTTTGGGTCGAGCTGTTGAGTGCGATTCTAGTTTTATACAATTTTTTAAATCAAAAAAGACAAATATTTACTTGTTCCAGCTCCTCAATTGTGTAATTATGACAATAAACTGAATCCCTGGGTTCTTGAAGGTGGTGGAGTGTTGAGGGTCTGTAGTTACCTCTTTTCCCTCCAAGTCGGGTCCTTTAACTTGACACCACTGATGGAGGATCCACAGAATCTCTAATGAAAGCTGCATTTTGGGGTCCCTGCAGCTGTGGAGGAGGTCCCACTGAGCTGAGCATCCTTGTCTTGTTGCTCTCTCCTTCACCTCCGAGGTGCGGAGGTCTTCAACGCTATCCTGCTTACTTGGTGACTCTCTCGTGTTATGATCGGCCCCGTCATGATCTGCACAGTCTCCAGAGAGAAAGGACAAAGTGTAGGAATCCCAAACATGTCCATCCTTGCAAACAGAGTATTTACTGGAATCCTCTCCTGTTAAAAGCGTCTCCATTCTCTTTGTGAAAGACAACAGCATGTCCCGCAGAAGCTCCACGGCCTCATTCAAAGGTCCTGGGAGGAAAATCTTCTGGGCCTTACCATTTGAGTCCTCGTCCGTCAGAGACGAACAATACCCATTTTTGGGTGGTGCTGTCAGGAGCTGTATGGCTGAACTCAGAATGCAGGAATGATCTCTGAGAGCGAGAAGAGCTTCATAGTCTTTCACCGTCATTCCTTTCAGGCCTCTGTCAATTTTTTTGTTGTTGTCCAGCTCCTGGCCGTCTGAAGGGTCCCACTCTCCACCGACAGGACCCTCTCGAGTCACATGACAAGCAGCGATCAACCCTTCACTTTGTGTTTGGTTGCAAAGCTGAGACGTTTCCAGACCTTGTTCTGCTTCGTAAACATCGAATCCCATTTTCAAACTTTGCTCCCTTCCCGCTCTGTCCTGCGACGGCATAGAAGCCGACACTTTTTCCTCCAAAACATTCCGATTCTCTTCTTCTTCCTCTTCACCTCCTCCTCCTCCTCCTCCTACCACTCCTCCTCCAGTTTTCTCTCTCAAGTCGCTCATTTCCGCTCTCAGCCCACGATTCTCCACCTCCAGTTCCACGATGCGCCGGCTCAGGAGAGTGGCCTCCTCTTCCACCAGCTTCAAGTGAACTTTGACCTCTGCCTCCCTGGCGTGGGCGGAGTTGTGTTTGCCCTCAGGTGATTGAGTGGCGTCCACATCGCCGAAGGCCGAGTGGTATTTGGCCAGCTCCTCGCGCATGCCCTCGCTCTCTGATACCAGTTTGGAGAGCTTCTTGCACATGAGACCTAATTCCTCTTTGGCAAAGTGGAGTTGGCACCTGAGATCAGCGCTGTCATCCTTTAGGAATCAAACAGTGATCACTGTCAGCCAACAACAACACTGCGACCTGTCATTTTTAAATTAAACATGATTTATGAACAAATCAAACCTCGATCTGTTGCGAGATCCTCCTCTCAGCTTTAGTGGATGTTGATCTGATGCTTTTTTTCTTCACAGAGTTCTGATGGAGAAAAACATGACAAAGTTTTATTAAAGGTTCAGTAAAAACATTATTTTGGCTCAAAGCTTTCACAGATAGAAAAAAAAACTGTTTATCGGGTTCAGCTGTGGCTCAGGAGGTAGAGCGGGTCATCGGTAGTTTAATCCCCTGTTTGCATGCCGAAGTGGGCGAGACACTGAACCCCATATTTCCCCTGACAGCTGTGCTGCCAGTGTGTGAATGATGTATGATGGAAGAAGAGCTGCTCACAGAAGAGCTGAATGAACGTGTGTGTGAATGAGTAAATGTGACTGTGAGGTTGAAAAGCTCTTTAGATGTAAATTTTACATTTTCTACATTAACATACATTATAAGTTCTTTATATGTTTTTATATATATTTCGTAAACTGAACCACTGATCCAATCCGAGCATGCTGGTAGAAGAGGCCACAACTTGGACATAATGATGTAGTGGACGCATAGCAAGTACTTTTACTTTGAAAGCTTAAAATAGTATGTACAGTATATTTAAAAGCAAATACTTTTACTCGAGTAGAAAAGTGAATGTGCATGTTTGAAAACTTTTCACTGCCTTAAATGCACCAGTGTCCTTGGTGTGTTTGGATCCAAACTGTTACACGACTGAGTTTATTTGAAAGTCTGAGTATGAGAAGAATGTCAGCCTCTGCCTGGCGCCATTGTCCCGCTCTGAGACACTAGACAGGATGTCAGTGTTAATAATAGTCATCTTAGGGTCGGGCTGGAAGTAGGGTTAAGATCTATTCAATTCAAGGTCAGTGGGTTTGTGGACAACCTGTGACCTGATATGTGATATTAGAATGTTTTGTAGTTCTTTGTGGTTTCATCTGGGCATGTGCAGCTACGTGAGGACCAGACAGTGTTGTGTTATCACTCACAGGGTCATGGACAGTCCAGCAGCCGTGTGAGGCCCTGAAACGCTCATCCTCCTTCACATCTACCTCCCCTGTGTTTTGTGCTCCTCTAGATTAGGTAATCTAAGTGGATTTTCCTGCTGGGATCAAACGGGCTAGCAGCTGTCTCCCATGAGTGGACCAGATTGAGCTCATGCCAAAGCACAGAATCCAGGATTAAACCGAATACACATCACTTCAGTGCCGCCGAGGCAGCAGGGCCGCAGGAATGAAAGGTGGACTGAAAATCAGTGCCAGTGTGGCGGCTGCAGTTTGATGAAAGTCAGAGCTGTGACTGTTGTAGGTCAGTATGTCGGAGCACCAACACCCGTCTTTATGAAGGCCATAATACACACTGATCCAGATTTAGCCTCGCTTAATAGATGACAGAAAGAGCGAGAGAGAGAGAGAGAGAGAGAGAGAGAGGGAGCCTATTTCTGTAATCTCTCGCACCATCTCTCCCTTTTCTCCGTCCTCTCAGCTGAGATCAGCTATGCCTGGAGTTCAGTCCTCAGCATACCAGGCTGCTTCTCCCTGCCCTTGCACAGGGCAGCTGCAGGCCGAGCCC